ACCCGACCTCATGATTAAAATGTTCAAAAAAAAAAATCTCATATGTCATTTATATCTATTTTTTATAGTATGATTTAGTTGAGAGAAGTAGAGAAAAGAAGAGAAGAGGTGAATATTTTTTTACTAACCAAATTTATAATAATTTAAAAATATTATAATTTAATTAATTAAATTTCTTTTTTCTTTTCGATTCCCCTCAACCCAAATGTAATTAGCTTTTTTATTCTTGTACAACTCATTGTTTTTATACGAGGGTAGTGCTTGTTCGCTTACGTCCAAAAAATTAAGAGTAAAAAAAATCACTTTAATGTATGCTTTAATAATATGGTTGTTTAGTTATTTTCAATAAAAATTTATTAAAATGACGTAGTTTTGGAATAATTTTCTTTTTAATTTAAAAAAAAATAAAATTGATAGACACTATTTTTTTTATATTTATCCATTCATTTAATAATATATATAATTTATATAAAAAATTATAAAAAAAATCATCCTCGTGTCATTAGCCTTTATATTTAGTTCCCCTCGCACACTTTGAAACTCATATCTCTTCAACAGCAATGTAATCATTTACCATACACTTCTACTCATGGAGAATCCAGGAATTCTTATCTTGACCCTCGTCATCTCCACCCTCCTCCATGGTTAAAATCCCTTAATTAATTTCTGAGTTTCTTCCTCCTTCAATTTCTAATTTTATACATGAAAACATATTTATTCTTCATTTTTTCTTCTTTTCATAGTGGTTGCAGGGGCACAATCATCTACATTTACGTTCAAGAACAACTGCCCAGTCACAGTCTGGCCAGCGACCCTAACCGGTTCAGGCGCTTCCTTGTCCTCAACCGGATTTGAGTTACCCACAGGCGCATCGAACTCGCTAAACGTCATAGCTCCATGGTCCGGCCGAATGTGGGCTCGATCCGGATGCACCAACTCCGATGGAAAATTCCAGTGTGCCACCGGTGACTGTGCCTCCGGTCAGGTCACGTGCAACGGCGCAGGCCCAATCCCGCCGGAATCCCTTGTGGAATTCTCCATTGCGGCTAACGGCGGACAAGACTTTTACGATGTTAGCCTCGTGGACGGGTTTAATGTACCCTTGTCCATAACACCACAAGGCGGAGATCCGGGTTGTAACAGCACCAGTTGCCCGATGGATATTAATAAAGTTTGTCCGCCAGAGTTGCAAGTTGTGGTGGGAACGGTTATGGGGTGCAAGAGCGCGTGCGTGGCATTTAATCAGCCTCAGTATTGTTGCACTGGTGCATATGGGTCGCCGGAAACGTGCCCGCCGACCAAGTATTCACAGTTTTTCAAGAGCCAATGCCCTCAGGCATATAGCTATGCGTTTGATGATAAGACCAGTACATTTACATGCACTGGTGGGGCTAATTTCCTTATCACATTCTGCCCTTGAAGCCGTGACCATTTCTTAGGAGACAGAATAATCAACGGAAACATATTGTATCCGTTTTGTGTTTTTTATACTATATATACAATAACATTATTAGCCTAGTTTTTTTTTTTTTTCCTCTTGGGTTTGAGATTTCGTATAATATGTTACGTCTCATCTATTTTGTCATCAACCAGCTGATGGAAAAGGTTCTGAATACTGGTAACTTGAAGAAAACTCTACATAAACGGTTTTAACGCATCAGCAGCAGTGTAATTAACTAATTATAATTTGATACACAAGTAAAAACAATAAAAATCATGATTTGGTATGCGCTTCATTTTGATAGTTAAAAAAAAATGATATACTTATGATATTATGTAAAATTATAAATTTATAATTATAATATATTATTAAATTAATAAATATATATAATATTATAAATGAATTATAAGTAAAAAATGATAGTAATATCACTATGCGTTATGTTACTGCACGTAAGCGTAGAATATATCACATGTCATTGTAATATCATTAATTTTGAAAACAAAAATATATGTATGTAATCCATTTTTAATAACGTGTCAAATTATGATTGATCAGCTTCTATCCAATCGCTATATGATGAATACTTAAAAGACCTCTCACAAGTCACAATAGAATCAATCCCACATATAGATATTTCTCTTTTTATAAAATAAATTTATATAGTCATAGAGACATATAGATAATAAAACTTAGAGATATCTTTACCATGAAAAAAAACAGGCGAAAAAAAAAAAAAACATAAAGATATATCTTGGGGAACTAGGTGACGAGGTTGAACTTATTGGATTAATCACTACTAAAATTGAGGAATAAAAAATGTATATATATTATAAATTGAGGAATTACAAATGTACATATTTGAATTGATTTAACAGATTAATTAGCATAAAAATTAAAAAGTGTATTTTTTATAGTTGAGGGGTCAAAAAATATATTAAAAAATAATAAATGAAAATTATATAAAATCTTAGAATTTAGGGACCAAAGTTCACATTTAACTTAAAAAAAAAAAAACCCAAGGCCTCTTATTTTTTCATTTTTGTTTTTCTTTAAGATAGTATAGATGTTCAAAAGTTTGCCAAAGCTGCCTCATCTGGTATTAAATAAGGACAATGATTGATACACCATTCGATTCAACACACTTAACAACACCTATCAGTTCAATAATTAATAAACTAATATTTTCAAATTTGAATTCAAGATAGAAAAATTTTCAAAGGCAAGTTTTAATGACTAAACTAGTAGATGTTGTTAGGTGTATTGAATCAGAGAGTGTATCAATTATTTTCCATTGAATAAAGCTTCACATAGGTTGTGACCTTACTAATAAGGCCATGCATAATTGCATATTATAGATGTTCAAAACCGATGTTGCTGAAAATGCCTCAAATGCATATCCACATGCTTTTTTAGACAAAATAGAGTTTTAAATTATTTAAATATGTTAATAAATAATGTAATTATATTAATTAATGTCTCATATGTTAAATAAAATTTAATAGATTAAACAAAATCTACTAATAAATTAAATTGTAGATATAAAAATTAATTTTTTTAACAAAAAAAATGAATTAAAATATAATAATTTTAATCATTCAGTAGTGTGGTGGGAGAATTGGTGATTTTAAGTTTTAGTAACATGATATATGTTGGTGATGAGTAGTGGAATTTGAAATTCAAAAATAAGTTTTAGCAACATGGAATATGTTGCTGATAGGGTGCTAAACTTTTAGCTACCTGGTTTATGTTGCTGATAGTTCCATATATACCCCCATGCTCAGCCATCTCCATGTGCACATTCTTCAATTCTTCAATTCTCCTCCCATCCCATTCTCTTGCGGCCT